GTAAATGTAATTAACCACATTTTTGTAAGCGGATGAATACTTGACTGTAATGCAGAGTGTGTTTAGTGAATGTAGTGTGTGTGTGTGTAATGCAGTGTGTTTAGTGAATGTAGTGTGTGTAATGCAGAGTGTGTTTAGTGAATGTAGTGTGTGTAATGCAGATTGTGCTTAGTGAATGTAGTGTGTGTAATGCAGAGTGTGTTTAGTGAATGTAGTGTGTGTAATGCAGATTGTGCTTAGTGAATGTAGTGTGTGTAATGCAGAGTGTGTGCTTGTAAGGATGCAGTGTGTGTGTAAAATAGGGGGGAGGGAAGTATTTTTGAAAAACATTTATTTGTGTGTATTTAAATTTTATTCCCCCCTCCCTGCTTCTCACCGTGCCAGGTAGGGGGGGATATCGCATTGTGGAGGGAGCCAGCTACGGTACATTCCAGATGGGGGCCAGGCAGCAGCACACACTGTCTTCCTTTCCAGCTCCTCTCTGACGAACTCTCGCGAGACCGGCCTGCGTGCTGTGCGGAGCGTTGCTATTGCAGCGCTCTGGCAGCCACAGGGCTCCGGAAAGTTACAGAGAGGGAAAGGGAAGACAGAATGTGCTGCTGGGCCCCCTCTGCAATGTACAGGTAGCAGGGGCCCGCAGTGCACAGATATATAGCGAAAATCGCTATATATATGTGCACATAAGGAATGTGGGGCTCGAACTGCCAGAGTAGTCTGAGCCCCCCAGGACCGCCAGGGCCCATGACAACTGTTATGGTTGTCATGCCCTGATGGCGGCCCTGTGACAAACACACACACCTTAACACACACACACACACACAACATGACACAGACAGACACACATTACATGACACAGACAGACAGACACACACACCATGACACAGACAGACACACACCAGGACACAGACACATACACTCACACTGACACACATAATTGCTACCTGTGTGCAGACAGCTGTCTGTGCTGGAGGCCACAGGGGGAGCTGGCTCTTCTGGCGGCCGCAGGGGGAGCTGGCTCTTCTGGCGGCCGCAGGGGGAGCTGGCTCTGATGGCGGCCGCAGGGGGAGCTGGCTGTGCTTTCTCTGCTCCCCAGCGCGCAACTTAATTAGACCGGGGCCGGAATATGACGTCATCTTCCGGCCCCGATCTTATTAAGTAGCTCGTGGGGGAGCAGAGACAGCACAGCCAGCTCTCCCTGCGGCCACCATCAGAGCCAGCTCCCCCTGCGGCCGCAGGTCAGCCAGCTGTCTCCTCGGCCCCAGGTGCCGACGGCCCACCGGGAAATTTCCCGGTATTCTGGTGGGCCAGTCCGGCCCTGCTACCAATCTATCATATATAGCTCATCTACTCTTATATTACTCTATTATTACCTACGCTAGCTTGAGACATTCACTTTTCCTTGAACCTAAATGATAATAGTAATTTAAAGGGGCACTATAGTAAACAGAAACCTTTTCAGGGAAAAGGCAGTGTATACATTGCTGCATAGGAACACATCTAGTGACAGTTACTCAGATGGACACTAGAGGTGCTTCCTAGTCCAGTGCTGCACACTGTGGATGGAGGCGCTGAATATTCCCCATAGAGATGCATGGATTCAATGCACCTCTATAAGGAGATGCTGAATGGTGCAGCGCTGTGTTTTGTTGCACGTGCACAATAGCCTTTCAATGCTTTCCTATGGGAAAGCATTGGATTGGCTGAGATTTGTAAGTTTCATGATCTCAGCCACGGAGGCAGGACTAACCGCGGCAAGACCAGATCAGCATGGGAGAAAAGTCCAGCTTTAAAGCTTTTCAACTTTTCAAAGCAATCTGAGAGGGGCCGGTAAAATAGTAAATAGTAAATAGTAAAGCTAAATAGTAAGTTTAACACTATAGTGTTAGGAATACATTTGTAATTCAAACACTATAATGTTCCTTTAAACAATTCTGAATTGTAGCTATCGTTCAGCTTTAGATTATAAATCTCTGCTTTGTGAACCTTAGTACACAGAAAGGGGATGTTCTTAAATTACATAATTGTACAAGAATTTGCAACATAGACAAAAGCCTCTTTTATATTAATGTCATATTGCAGACATAAATTTTGCACATATGTTTCACTTCATATTTTGTACATTATTAATGCCACTGATATCATATCTGGACTTGTATAGCTCCTTCTATCAAACTGCTAAATTTGTATTGATTTATACGTAAGTACATGTAAATTCAGCATAATTTCCCCCTACCCTTCATAAATCTACAGAAAATCCTACGGTGTTTTGTTAGGGACAACTTTTTTTGTCTTGTTTTGCATATTGTTCAGAATATTGCTGCATATGTTGGTGCTATACAAATAATACCTATAATACCTATAATAGATTTAATTGTCCTGAATCCTGAATCCTATCTCCAGTTTATGTATGTCCTAACAGCCACATACACAATATTAAGAGCTAAATTAAAGGGACAGTCCACAGCCCAAATAAAAATAATAATAATAAAAAATCCCAGTTTAGTAGATACACCCAAATGAAAACATACATGCATTTAATTATGCTTTTTTTCCATTGGTGGTATATATAAAAACTGTTTGAAAATGATGCAAGCATATCTCTAGTCTCAAGTCTTCACAATCCCTCCCCTTCTTCTAGAGCCAAGACTTTCTGTGGCTGACCAATCACAGACTCCCCAAATGCAGCTGAATGAGAAGTTTTTGGAAGGCAGGTTTTCAGGTGTAGGCAACCTTTGGCACTCCAGATGTCGTGGACTACATCCCCTATAATGCTTTTACTACCAGAATGCTGGCAAAGCATCATGGGAGTTGTAGTCCAAAACTTCTGGTCAACCTATCTTTGCATAGTAATGGGGAAATTTGCACACACAAAAAACAACAACCAACAAAACACTGTAAGTGGCTATTTCTTTAGTATCCTGTTTCTAATAGATACCAGATCTATCTTCATGAAATGGTTATGTGAAGAAGCGTAGCTTCAACATAAGTGAGTGACACACTTTGCATTTGAAGGGGAATATCATTAAGGTGTAGGGCAGTCATGTCCAAAGTCCGACCCACATTCCGGTTTAATACGGCCCCACAGTTCACTTGGTAAATCTATCTGTTGTGGCCCCCAGTGAATCCACGAACACCGCTCAGGACCCCTGGGATCTCTGGATCTTTGAATGCCGCGGTCCTGAGAGGCAATCAGGGACGTGCAGTGACCTCAGTCTGTGTTCTCGTGATCTCTTGGACGTCATTTGGTGCGAGCGATCACAGGATTTGGTTCCTTCTTCCTGCTGGAACAGAAAGAGAGAATGGACAGAATAAAAAGGGACAGAATAAAAAGGAACAGAATAAAGAGAGACAGAATATAAGAGAGACAGAATATAAGAGAGACAGAATAAAGAGAGAAGGGACAGAATTAAAGAGAGAAGAGACAGAATAAAGAGGGACAGAAGAAAAAGACAGATGAAAGAGAGGGGACAGAATAAAGAGAGAAGGGACAGAATAAAGAGAGAAGAGACGGAATAAAGAGACAGATTAAAGAGATGATGAAATAAAAAGTATGCCGTTTGCAATAAACTTTGCATAAAGTAGTTCAAGTGCATTAAATTTTAATGGTTCAAAGAATGTCAGGCAAAATGGTTGACCCTCATGCATGTTCACTTCATGAAATCTGTCCCTCTTTGAAAAAAGTTTGGACACCCCTGGTGTAGGGAGTATTATGTACATAACAAATGACATAATACATAGCACTTTTTTTTTCCGGTGCATGTGATAACAATCAGGATTACATAGCCACAACAGCAGTATGAAGCACTTCACAAAACATGCAGTGTCATGACATAAAGAGAAATTGCACATTTTTTATAGTATTTCAAGCAAGAGTATTAAGCTAAGGTATGTCCCACTGCTAAATAAATTGAGGCCATTCTTAGAAATGCAGATCTCGTGAGACGTGAACAATAGGCAATAAATTAATATGCTAAATGATGCTTTTTAATGAAACAAAGGCTATACGAAGTTGATTGACTAAAAACCAGATGTATGAAACTGGAGTCCGCCAGAATAAAAAGGTACAGAATAAAGAGGGACAGAATAAAGAGAGACAGAATATAAAAGAGACAGAATAAAGAGAGAAGGGACAGAATTAAAGAGAGAAGAGACAGAATAAAGAGGGACAGAAGAAAAAGACAGACGAAAGAGAGGGGACAGAATAAAGAGAGAAGGGACAGAATAAAGAGAGAAGAGACGGAATAAAGAGACAGATTAAAGAGATGATGAAATGAAAAGTTTGTTGTTTGCAATAAACTTTGCATAAAGTAGTTCAAGTGCATTCAATTTTAATGGTTCAAAGAATGTCAGGCAAAATGGTTGACCCTCATGCATGTTCACTTCATGAAATCTGTCCCTCTTTGAAAAAAGTTTGGACACCCCTGGTGTAGGGAGTATTATGTACATAACATAGCACTTTTTTTTCCGGTGCATGTGATAACAATCAGGATTACATAGCCACAACAACAGTATGAAGCACTTCACAAAACATGCAGTGTCATGACATAAAGAGAAATTGCACATTTTTTATAGTATTTCAAGCAAGAGTATTAAGCTAAGGTATGTCCCACTGCTAAATAAATTGAGGCCATTCTTAGAAATGCAGATCTCGTGAGACATGTGAACAATAGGTAATAAATTAATATGCTAAACGATGATTTTTAATGAAACAAAGGCTATACGAAGTTGATTGACTAAAAACCAGATGTATGAAACAGGAGTCCGCCACATAGCGTTTGAGTTGAGATGGCACCTATGCCGGCATGATGACCAGTGTATACCTGTGGGCAACCAGGTTTTCCTTGCCCAATCATCCTATGCCCATTTTGTGGGAAGACTGCTGAACTCCCAGCAATAGGTGAGTTACAGGTAGGTATATGCTCTGTGTAAGGAGCTGGTGCTAAGCTGCATCTGAGTGCCACATGGCCTTCCAGCGGGGAGGTTCACCATCTTGAGGGGCTGTAAGGATCAAAGTCACGGGGGGCGGAGCCAAGCCACGGACCTGGATGGCTGCATGCAACCGAAGCTCCGGACCAAACGGCCACACAAAACCCCTACAAAGTGCACCCACCAGCACTGCTAACGAGGAGAGAGGAGATGGGCCGGAAAACTAAAAAGGCCAGGCCCAATAAGCCCCGGCTGAGAGGCACTATTGGAGACCTATGGTGGCAGGCCTGCAATAACACAGGCACAAACATCGTTGACTATGCCGACGACTACTCCAAACTGTCGATTTCACAAGTGGGGCTGAAACGCACCGATCACCTGTCTTGACAAATCCTCTCCAGACTCACCCTAAGACAGACACATCTCCCGTGACCACGGCGGTGATGAAGGAACTGCTGGCGGGGCTTCAACTCACCATCCAGGCTGATATGGCCCAAATCCGTGGAGACCTGCAGTGCCTGACAGGCCGCTTGAACATGCTGGAAGCAGACTCCAGCTGAAACATGCAAGACACAGCGCAGCTACACAAAGCTGTGCAAGACCTGCAACAATTGACTCACGCAACAGACCAGTGGTTCACAGCACTGGAAGATCAGAGAAGAAGCTTGAACCTCAAGATCAAGGGCATCGGGGAGGCGATACCAGAGGCAGATGCACCGCACTTCATACGGCGCCTGCTGACCGCTCTCTTAACCTTTAAAACAGGCCAAGTAAATGGTCCTGGGGGGATGTTCTACTTTTCCACGACCAGCTAAAGCCCCAGCTCCAGTACCAAGAGACCTCCTCGTGTGCTTCCTGAGCCACGGAGACAGATCAGCGGTCCTCCAAGCAACAAGAACCCTGACGCCATGTGTGTTTGAAGATCGACAGCTCTCATTCTATGCGGATCTATCAGGGCCGACTTTGGCCTGGTGCCGCACAATGAAGCCTTTCATGGCTCTCCTTCGCCTTCATAACATCACCTACCAATGGAGGCGCCCCTGGGCACTCTTGATCCAACTGTCATGTATTCATCCGCTTATAGAAATGTGGTTAATGATATTTACTGTCCACACAGGAAAAGTTGTGCCGAACAGCAACCTAATCCACAGAAGGGTTAATGCTGAGCAGCAATTATGCAAATGAAACCTGGTAACTGATTTTGGGGTCAAAGGCTACAGCCTATCAGAACTAAAGGAGGGGTATTTAGGCCCAGTTCTCATCCTGCTCAGTGTCTGTCGTGGTTTCCCTTGTGGTTGTCCGAGAGCGCGTTCCTGTTATAAGTTTTCTACCTGGTTTTTGACTTTGGCTTGGTTTATTGACTTCTCTATATTTTGGTATCCTGACTCCTGGCTTTCCTCATCGCTGCGTCCCTTTCTGTGTTCCCTGATCTCGGCTAGTATTTTTGACTATTCTATGTACGTTAAATCCGGCCATTCTAAGGACCAGTAATACGTTACCTATTTGTCATCCGTGCTATACAGTTCTACGTGCTGGATCAAACAGTAATCCTGACACCAACATGGCGACCCCTCACATAAGGTCCACGATATGCAAGGGGCCAGAGAACTCCTACCAACCCTGGGGCTTCAACAAGACACCCTATCCACCAAGGAACTAACCCACCCAGCAGCACGACCAACGACGAGAGACCCACTGACAGCAACACTGTTCGCCCCCGGCGGGCTGAAGCAGGAACATCGACAACGACTGGCACCAGAGGTGCTTCGGGACTTAAAGCCACCTGAGGCTTACTCCTCAACAGCCCTTAGGTTACCAGGGCAAGCCGTTTCCGGCAAACGGGACTATTCTTTTTCCACTACCCACGTTCGCAAATAGTTAGGACGCCCTCCCCGGGGTAATGGGGTATACTCCACATCAGGAGCATACTTTTCAACAGCCCACACAACAGACATCCTGCTCCCTTGCTACCCTAGCTAGGTAACACAACCATCTTAATATCACAATGTAAGCAGCTCATTCAGCCTAAAAGCCCATAGAGAAGCCACCGGCTCTAAGCCCACAACCCCAGGCACACCAGGCATCCGATTTAACGCTGACCCCCACTACCCAAAATTAAAATTCCCTCAGCACAGGGCCACCATAAGCGAACCCACAAGTCTGTTATACAATATTGTGACAGTCTGATAATATGCAAATGTTGCCTTTTTTTCTGTATTCTCTCTTCTGTACCATTTGACTTTTCTATACTGAAACCATGACCTGAGTCAAAATAAAGAATAAAAAAAAAAAAAAAAGGATCAAAGTCACATAATCTTGGCCCTCAGTATTGCTCCCCCCTGCTATTAACTCAGCTGAGCAGTAGACCCAAGATTCCTCGGTAACAACCATGTCGAGACGGTTCTCCGCTGGTCTGACTGGGTGTATGGGAGCTCCGAACACAGAGTGGGTTTAGGCAGATAAGTGTGTTGAGTCGCAGATAAAGTGGTGTGCGTTTCACGTATCGGTTTATTCCGCTGCCTTGCCGCAGCGGACTCAGGATGAAGAGCAAAGCCAGTGAACCACTCATGGACAGCTGTTTCATTGTTACTGCAACTCATCAGCATGAGGTTGGTTACTGGCTTGCTAAGGAGTCTTGGCATTACTTGTGAAGTACATACCAAGAGAGTTGTGGTTGGGAAAAAAGTGTGGATGAAAACATGAGTGGTTCACTGGCTTTGCTCCTCTTCCTGAGTTGTTTTTCTAAGGTGTAGTATACAGTAGACATATATTCTAAGGAATCTATATATAAAGTGGAATTATGAGGCAAAAATGTGGTTCTTTGTTGAACTCATTTGCATACGCCTACCCTTGCAGTAGTGAGAGCACTGTTAACGTGAGATTTCTGTGGGAAAAGCAAGTCTTATGGCTTGATTGGTGTGTGCAGTTGTGTTTAGCAATGTATTAACTATCCACTTAGTTCAGGTGGAAGGGGTTTTCATCCACACTTTTTTCCCACCACAACTCTGTTGGTATATACTTACACATATATATATATATATATATATATATATATATATATATAATATATGTAAAATATACAAATGGGGTTTCACCTTTTCCCAAATAGGGACATAAATCCACACCATAGTACTGTTACATTGTATATTGTTCCACAGTCATAGATTACACAAGTGTGTCTACTAAACATCCCTCCCCGTGGTGTCCATTTATAAAAATCCCACCCTAGATTTTCAGTTGTAGAGGACTATTTATATGGACACCAGGGGAGGGATGTTAAGTAGACACGTTTGCTTGTGCTATTTATTGCATGTGTTATGTATTTTAAATATATGCAGTCCCTGAGGAAGTCCAAGGCAACTGGACGAAACACGTAGGTACTTTTTATTGCTTTTATATATCTTTGGAATATATACTTGACCTGCACCAGTGTTCCTGGTGAAAATTCGAACAAAGGAGGAATGCTGGAAGTCCACTGAGAAAACCCTGAATGGTTTGAAGGCATTTCATTTGCGAAATCTTGCGAGTGCAATTTATAACTATGGCACAAAATACAATGTAACAGTACCTTACCGTGGTGTGCACTTATGTCCCTATATAGGAAAAGATGAAAACCCATTTGTATATTTGTACATGTTGGATAAAGAAAAGGAGGAGCGTTAAAAGGGAAACTGCCACCATCTATACAACTGTTCTTAGCAAGTTATACTACTTCTACGTTCTTTTTGGTTATATTATTATATCTTCTTTTGCTACTTTATTCATTTTTGTGGACCAGCACAGGGCATCATTACTTGGACTCAGGAGTGCAGGTTTCTGGCACGGTTATATCCATGCTTGTAGGTGTAGGTTCGAGTTTCATTTCTCTTAAATATATGTTTAATTTCTTTAAGTACATGCTACACCTAGCTAACGTAACTGTAGGGTTTACAGAGGTCTGACAGCAGCTCACAAGGTGGTGATGTTTAATCTCTAATTGCTATTTAATGTTTAGTGGCTCCTGTGGATTTCAGTAGGACTCAATATGGCAGATGGTGAATGATATGTTGTGTAGCATAGCACCTGCCAGTAAACTTTAAGATGGTGACTGTTATTACAGAATTGTCAATAAATGATAGAGGCAGGAATTAAAACAAGCTCGGTGTTGGAGCTTATAAAATAAGTACAAAAAAAAAATTTAAAAAAATTATTTTACTTTATCCAAGTGAAAACTGCAACGTGTTTATTTTTAAGTAATAATTAGCCTAGAAGACATTAAACCATATAAATATGGCTAGGACTACAACCATGACTACAGGATGCTTAAAATGAATATGTGGACTGGGAATATTAACAGTAGAGTGAAACTACAATGGGGCTGGAAATTTGAATGTGGGTAGATCATGACTGTAGGAGACCAACAAAGTCATAATGCTGTGTGGCTTGTGGAATACATAAATGAAAAAGAGGCTGCAATCTACACTATACTGACTAATAATCTAACAGTTTATAGATTCTCTACACTAATGAAATATTCTGAACGCATTTGCAGAGTTATTAACCAGACTCTGAATTATGGCGAAAGATGTAGAGTAAAATAGCCAAATGGTGACTTAGCTGAGCTGAAGAACTACATAGTCCTATGTGGATTTCAATTTGCTACCATTTGGAGTTTAATAAATAAACCTGTACGTCAATTTTGGTTATTTACAAAAGAACAACTCTACTTAAATTTGGTTTGATATTTTCCATAAGCAACCTGAATATCTACTTGGGTACAAATTACTAGTGTCATTAACAGTCCGGTAAAAGAGGAGAAATATGAAAAAAACAAACTCTCAAAAATATCAAAAGGCCATAAAACGACATTTTAATTGTAAGGTCTATTACAGCAGATCTATTTCAGTACATATTAAGTGACTAAGATAACCTATTGATATGTAACTTAAAATGTCACTCAGATAATATTTATACTGCATTACCATTATTGTGAGATACATGTAAATGTGCTATTGTTATACCCACCAAAAGTGGAGCTAAGAAAATAGGAACATTGTGACAGAAATAATTGATAAACTGGATTAGGTCATCACACAGGGACTGTCTTTCCTTAACAGGCACAATTGGGAGGTACAATGAGTCAATTAACTAAAGCATCACATTGATGCAGCTCTTCCTTTATAACATGATCATGTCTTGGTGTGAGTCACTGCTCCTATGACTAACACACTCCACTTAAGTACTGCTTACAAAATCCCAGACAACAGGTGCAGGTACCAGAGCCACCATTAGTAAATAGCCCTCTGTATAACACGTGGTGACTGCTAGCTAGCTCCATCTATATACTGTTTAATGTAATGGCTTATCCTCCCCATGGTTACACTATATAGAGGTATGGGAGGACAATGCAGCCACGTGGCCCTTGCAGAGCACAATGGACTCTCCTTCTGCCAGCATTGAGCTGGTCCAACACTCTCACACAGGCTGGACACGTCTGCCTGACTTCTGCACTGACGTCACCGCACATAGAATCCGAGTCCTCGCCCTTGCCTCTTCGGCAGTTTCCGTTAGCTCTCGGGAGAACCCCCACCCGCCTCCCCATGTGCGTCACGCCCAGCCCCGCCCATCCCTTTCCCCCCTCTGCAGGCAGGTTTGTCTCCGCATCCTCTGGAAAGGGCCCCGGGCCGCACTGCGCATGTCCGGCCGCCATCTTGGGTTTTTGCCCACTCCCACCATTGGCTTCTCCCCTCCCCCCTGGAGAGCTGCTTCCCCGGCTCACGGCCTCTCTCCTCCAATACCGTGTGAGATTAAAGAGCCGGAGGGAGGGACCGGCCGTGTAACAGGGAGCCGGAGCCCAGACTCGCAGCGGAGAGAGAAGAAAGGCAGAGTCACGGGGGAAGACCGAGCGAGGCCAGCCCGTGTGTACCGAGCCCTCACTGCCGCTGGCCGCCGGGAGGATGGGGCCGCCGCCGGGCCCCGGGCACCATGCCTGTTAATGAGTGCCCCCGGTATCCTCGCTGCTTCCTGTGCCCGCTGAGGAGCGCCACCGAGCGGCTCATTGTGTGAGAGCACAGGGGGGCCTGCCTGGACAGCCCTCCATAGCCCCCCATAGCGGCCTCTGTCTATCCATAGAGCTCAGCGGGAGACCCCCCCACCCAGCCAGGCCGAGGGAAGGGCATCACCCCGCACGTTTGGAGGAGAGGAGGTGGGTGGGTAGGTAGGTGGGTGGGCTGAGGGCTTCAGAGGAGGAGAGTTAAAAAAAAAATGCACCAGCCGGACCCAGCCGCAGAGCTGGCTGCCAGGAAGATGGCGCACCCGGCAGATATCCCCAGGAGGGGCAGCGGTGCCGGGGGCAACCCGGCTACAGGGAGTCTGAGTGCAGTCAATCCTGGCATGGGTGGGCATATTCTCACCGGGGAGGACTTCCAGCCTTCACTTCAGATGCAGCCTCAATCTGCATCATCATCATCCTCCTCCTCAACCCCTGGAGCTCAGCATCCTCCTCAAACCTTGAACTTAATGTCTCAGCCCCTTCTACAGAGTGGGGCCCAGATTAAGAAGAAAAGCGGATTTCAAATCACCAGTGTCACCCCTGCTCAGATTTCTGCCAATATGAGCTCCAACAACAGCATAGCTGAAGATACTGAGAGCTATGACGACCTGGACGAGTCTCACACTGAAGACCTGTCCTCTTCTGAGATATTGGATGTGTCTTTGTCAAGAGCCACAGATCTTGGTGGTCCAGAGAGAAGTTCATCTGAAGAGACTTTAAATAACTTCCAGGAAGCTGATACACCTGGTGCAGTGTCACCAAACCAGCCACACCTCCCCCATCAGCATCATTTACCTCCAAATGTTCAGCAAAGTATCATGATCAATGGGAATGTACACCATCACCACCACCATCTTCATCACCATGGAAATCATCAGCCTCCACACACTGGACTACCTGCTGCTCCCATTGCTGGAGGGAATCTTCAAAATATTGGATCTGTGAAACAAGCTGCCACAGGTACCTTTGATAGCCCTGTTACAGCAGCACCTGTCTCTACTGTACCTACAGTGGCATCAGCTCTGCCAGTAGCACGTAAATCAAGTGGTCCTGTGAGTACAGGTATCAGCCCTGCCACAGGTGGAAGTACAACAAGCAGCGCTAATGTAGCAGGTGTGGGTGGTGTGACTGCGTCAATGCCCAGTGTCATAAATGTAAATCCAAGCAATGTCACTAGTAATGTAAGCGCAGTGCCAGGTAACCTTAATTCAAATATAGTTAGTACATCTGGCAATGGAAGCAGTGCTTCATCTAGTATAAATTTTTCTGGTGCAGCTGCAGCAGCTGGACCGGCTGCAGGACAGCAGCCTGCTGCGCCTTTCACGACAACATCTAGGTTTAGAGTTGTAAAATTAGATTCAAGTACTGAACCCTTTAAGAAAGGCCGATGGACGTGTATGGAATTCTATGACAAAGAAAATGCAGTTCCCTCTGAAGCAGCTGCTGCAATCAACAAAGCAGTAGAAAGCATTAAACAAAACCCATTAGAGGTGACATCTGAGAGAGAGAGCACCAGTGGTAGCTCTGTCAGTAGTAATATCAGTACTCTAAGTCACTATACAGAAAGTGTTGGAAGTGGAGAAATGGGAGCATCTACAGTGCAACAGCCAGGTTTTCAAGGACTGGGCCTTCAACAAATGGAATTTAGTAGCACTATAACTCAGAATGTCCCAGCACCTAATATACCACAGAGTATTTCACAGTCTCAGCTTGCACAATTGCAGATACATTCACAAGATTCAAGTTATTCTCCCCAGAAACAAGGACAACCTGCTCAAGCTACTTTGAATGCTGCTACTGGTGTGCAACCAGCATCTGTTAATATCATTGGAGTACAATCTTCTTTAGGACATCAACAGCCACCCGTTTCTGCTATGATCCCACAACAGTTGCCATATCCTCAACAGGCGCAGCCCATTCAAAGTATGCCAACTGTTCAGCAGCAACAGTTACAATATGCACATCAACAAACTGCTACTACTCAAATGACCTCTGGGCATGTCATGCCAGTGAATCAAAGTTCTGTTCCAGGGAATTTACCAGAATACCTTCAACATCCACAAATACTGCAAACAGCGGTGAACCCAATACAGTCAAGTTCTATTGGAGTTGGTAACACTGCAGCTGTCCCTGTTGTCCAAGCACAAGTGATGCAGGCTCAGATCCAGTCTTCAACAACACAAGCCCCACCAACAGCAGTCCCAACGCAGTCTGTTGCTCATGCCCAGGCCACCATGCCTGCAACAGGTGGCCAAATTTTAGGAGTTGGCCAGCAAGCAAGTCTGTCTACTGCAGTGCCTCAAGCTGCGACTAGCCAACCATCAACTTCTGTTTTGCAGCAGGGTGCACCTATTCCTTCACAACAGGTGTTGCCACCATCACAGGGAATACAGCTGGGTGCTCCAGGCCTTCCACAGCAAGTAATTTTAGCACCTCAAAATACTTTACTCCCTGCAAAGCCTCAGACACAACTCATTGAACCTACTGTTCAAGGAATGACAAGCCAACAGGTTCCAGTAGTAAGTCCTTTGCATGCAGTCACTAGTGTTCCTCCAGTTCAACAACTAAGTACAAATATATCATCTGTTATATCTCCAGCTGGGACAGCATTGGGTTCCCTACCAACTGTCGCACAACCATCACCAGCTCAAAATGGAAATTTGCTTCAAAATATTAACCAGACACCTGCGATTCCAAGTGTACCAACAGCACAAAGTATGCCGCTGCAAGTGGCTCAAAGCACCGGGCAATACTTGGCACCATCACTCATACAGTCAGTGGCAAGTCAGATTGAAGAGGCTCAACGTTTGGGGATTTCAGTGGCTGGCTTACCCCATATTAGTGAAGGAATTGCATTGGATAGCAGTGGTGCTGGGACCCTGCTTCCTCTGAAGTCCTTGCCCCTGTCAACTGCTTTGGTTGATGGTGAAGATGAAAGGTAAGGAAGTAGGTAGTCTTTTGACATTGAACTGCTGACTGTATAACATGAAATAGTCTCACAATTTCAGGCAAGATTTTCAGACCTCTCCTTTCAATTATAAAGCATTGGTGTGTTTTGATGCCATGATCTTCCTCACTAGTTTTTATTGGGTAGCTGGATGTAAGAAGTATTGTTCTTAAGACATAACCAGTATCTCTCTAATCCAGTAAATGTAAAGCAATTATTTGCTTTAATGTAGTGTTTAAACAGTACGCCGTAGAACATACAACAAAATTACCCCTTGAAAGTGTTGCTTAAGCTAAAAATGTTTTATTGCATTATTTTGCTATGGTGTTTAAAACGTCCCTGTTCGTAAATTCCACAGTAATACTTTTGTTAAGTGTTAAGGTTACAAACCAGTACGTCTTTTTTTTTTTTTGGTTCCTGTCAAGATCTTAGGTTAACACAGTATAAAATGTGAACAGTTGCTGAGTACGTTAAATGCCATCCCATGTTCTTTTACATAAACTATTACACAATCTGCATCCAAATGTGACCATATTTAAATCTCTGGCAGCATGCAGAGGTTAAAAGTTCAATAAACTGTCATTTTTGTTACTATGTTATATTCATTTTTATATTTAATGTGGCAATGTTTTAAAGTACATGTGCAGAAATTTTTAAATATTTTTACACGTCCTATGAACATTTCTAGCTGGCAACGTGATGTGCAGCATTGTAGAACATATTAGCACTTAAATCATACTACAGAAGACTGCAGATCTTCTCTGGACTTAAAATTGTCATGATTTAAAAAAAAAAAAAAAAAATTACATGAATACTCACACGTCTGTTAGAATATCTTGTATTCTTAAAACATCAAGTACTGCAATAAGGTTCCACTGACACGTAATGTCTATAGAGCTGTGGCGTGTCATTGTCTTTTCATGAGCAAATTGTGTCCCCACTTTTGATTTGAAATAACCTACATTTGTGTGTGTGGTTGATATATTGTAACATATTTTTATTTTACCCACATAGGAGTACCAAAGGAATATTGCTTTAATTATAACCTAAATTATAGAATTGCGCTCTTCAGGCCAACATAACTGAGCTGGTTGCAAGGCTAATTTGAAGATTTCTTCAGTTCATATATTCTGGTCTTAAATTTGCAGTTCTCTGGTGAATTCTGGATAGATTTATTGATTAGCCTTGCATCTGTTATTTCAACCCTGTGTAACGTGTACTTTTCTACATTGCATACATATTCATATCTTGGCTAGTGTTTTAAAAAAAAAAAAAAAAAAAAATCTGTTTATCACAATGCGTTGGGTTCCTAAGCAGTGAATTGAAAACCACTTTGCCAAATTACCAAAATAGGTGACTTGGAAAAACTTACCTAGCTATATTAACTCCTGGGCTATATTTAACCTGAATTTTGCAGTCTGGCTGTCAATGCACCACAGTTAATTGTTTAGTAAGTAAACACTTATTCTGTTTAAACTTAAAAAGAAAGTTTACTAACGGGCGTCATAGACTTAAGGCATTCTGTATTGAAAATCACTTGTGCCCAATTTTTTCATTTTAAGTATAAATTTACCTTTTTGTAATGTCACCTTTCTGACATTACACAGAAACCAGAAAAGTTACTTGCTAATTCTGATCTAGATATAAGCCAGTGAATTTCCACTGCCACATTGTATAAAGAGAATGTTGATGATGCTGTTGCCAAACAAGGATGAGAACAAAAGGCCTTGTGTTAACGCCTTCATTGCTGCAGTTTGTTGCTTGCCTTGGCAACCCAGACTGAACATATTTAATAGAACATTGCATTATATACCTAATTCCCAAATAACGTGTACCACACTCCTTGTGTATAAATCTACAATGTGCTAGCATGCTAATAGCAGTTACTTAGAAAGACGAATGGCAATAATGTATTCATGAGACTATATTTTTTTTTTCCCCTCATCTTCTGTGTTCATGGTTGTCAAGCCAGTCTATAAGGTCCAAAAATCTAAACTTCAGGGATTCGTTAGTTTTCTCTTAATGGTTTTTAAATCTT